AGCACAGAAAACGGACGTCGTGTGAACAGGCCCTAAAGGTAGAGATGTCATCAACCTGTGTGGTGGTATGTCTGCTAAGGTGAAGAACTAGACGTGCGATTCGTTTCGTTCCGAATCGAAATTCGGACGAATTTTCGGAAATTCGGACATTCCGATGTATCCGAATTCCGAATTACAGACATAACGAATGCAAACGAATCCGAATTTCCATTTCCGAAATTCGGTAGCGGTAGTTCGAACGTTCGTTTCGTTTTCTGTTCTTATTCGTTTCGTTCGTTGGAGCAAAGTGACATTAGAGAAGGAGAAAAATATTTTTCCCCCCTCAAATGTCACTTTGCTGCAAACGAATAAGAAACGAATAAGAAACGAATAAGAACAGAAAACGAAACGAACGTTCGGAATACCGCTACCGAATTTCGTCCAAATCCGAATTCCGAATCGACTTTCACACCCGAATCCCAAAAAACGAAATAACACAAATCCGAATTTGAAACGAAACAAATTTTTTGGCAGTGCACATGTCTATGAAGAACCGTGGAGTCCACAGAAGGAAATGATCAATTAATTCCCTATCAAAGGAAAAAAGATTCATAGATACATATTAACTATTTGAAAAGTTCTGTTATGAGGACTGGAAACATTCTCCTCATGGAGTAATATGAGGTAGATGTCCTCTGTCCTCATAGCAGAACTTTTCAAGTAGTTAATATACTGTATATAGGGACAGTCTTTGTGGCAGCACAAGCTCTAAAAGACCCTATCCCTGGTACAATAGGTTGATGCAGAGCGTACTGAATCAATCAGATTGGAAACAACAGATTGCATATCTGTGTTATATAAAACCTGCTTAAATATTGTCTCATTAGAGACACAGTGTCGAAAGGTGACATACCAGATTATTATCTTTGCCACTTCCAGAGTCCTAATCACACAGGGAATCGTGAGAAACTGGATTACACCAGATGCTGTACCACTGCTCTGAAACTGAAGAGCGCACTGTGGCTAAATGACACAGTAAACAAAGGTCTGGAAAGCAGTGCCTGAGCATCACCATCCAAGCTATCTTCCCCCACCAATCCAGATAGCTACTGTATAGAAACCAAATCAAGCAGCATTTTAGGCTGATTGAAAAGAAAAAAAAATCAGTATAGTAGCAAGCATGTTAGAATAGTAAATGATTAAAAATATAGTATGATTTTCAGTCAAATCATGTGTTACTGTAATAACATAATTTATACCATAGCCATGTTTCTTTCTGCAATTTCTCTCTCCCAGTTTGATATGAATGGAGATGGCCATATCAGTGGACTAGAACTCAGTGATGCTGCACAGAGCTTCTTAGGAGAACAGCTGAATCCCAGTGAAATTCAGGAGATCATCCACGACATAGACCTTAACGGAGATGGCAGAGTTGATTTTGACGGTAAGCAACAGAATTCTGAGCATCAACATACCTGCTATAATTTTCAGTCTTACTGCTGGAAGAGCAATATAATAATTGCTGGTTCACACTGAGTGTAGGACATATAAAATCAGTACAAATAAACCCACAAGCTTTTATTTAAAATGTAGTTTTAGCCAAAACCAAGATTTACATCCCTCAGTTTTACTGCAGTTTGTATTTCTTTCCCCATTCTTTTCTATAGAAACATTTTAGTTTCTATATAATTAGATTTCCCCTTCAGTATCCGAGCTATGATGTTCCTACTCACTGCTGGATGGCCATTCAGTAGTCCAGTTACATGGTATGCAGTGGCGTAACAATCACCATAGCGACCCAGGCAGCCGCTATGGGGCCCAGGGGACAAGGAGGCCCTGGCAGGACATTTCTGATGCCCTGCGGGCCGCCTGGGTCGCTATGGCATCTCACGCTGCTGGCTGTCACTGGCGGCTGTGAAGAGAAATGACAGTGATCTGTGCAGTGGCACGTTCCTCTCCACAGCCGCTGTGGAGTCAGTGAGAGCCAGCAGCGGGGGCTCATCACCGATGGTGGAGGAAGAGTAGCTGGATAGGTAAGGAGTGTGACCAGCCCACCTGAGGGTGACCCTGCAGAGCCCACCTTAGAGAGTCTATGGTGGGTTCTGCAGGGTCACCCTCAGGTGGGATGTTTGGGATCTCAATTGGGCTCTGCAAGGGGTGTAACTAGAGAGTAAAGGGGCCCCATACAAAATTGTGCTTATGGGGCCCTGTGATTTCTAGTTACGCCCCTGATGGTATGTGCTTATGCATGACAAAATCTATACTATTCTATTGTATGTATCACTGTACAAAAATCTAAATGTTAAGAAAAGGATAGCTAGTGGTAGTTAGTCACATTTAACTAGTCTTGTTCTGTAATGTAATGATGAAGATGTTTTGTAACTTATCTAAACCACTTCTTCAGTTCTAATGAATGTCAAGGACATGCCCCAGCATTTATATACACATAGGCAGCACAGTCACTCTAATCTAAATCACAATTAAGGCAGGTGTTGGTTTTCCAAGAATAGGATACAAGGTGTGAAAGCTGTGCAACCAACCTGTTCTAGCCATACAATCCCATTCTTTGGTGTTAGGAAGTCCACAAAAGTGTTATTAATTCAATTTACATGGCAGAAAGTGTGAATTGTGGTCAAATCACCAACATATAGATGTTAAAACACCATTATAAGTAGAAGAGAGATGGTGTTAAATGCCCCCATCCCTGTTAAGGGACGTTATTCCAGTTTGGCGTAAATAGCCTCTTTCATGCCTCTTGCGAACCAGTTGTCCTCTTTGCTCAAATTGTGCACCTTAGGAAAATTGCTGAGTCTTTGCCTGTAGCATCTGCATGTCGGGCCATTGGTTTTTTGAAAGATTGGTTTGTCTCCTCAATGCAAATGGCTACATATGGGGGTTCAATATTCACAATTGTTTGTTTGACCTTGTGTATGTTTAAAAAAAAAAGCCTAATCTGGGTAGCTGCAAAGTTTCATTGCAGTCCTAAGATGCATCTGTCTTTAGTCTCTGTGTTGTTACCTTCTCAGCCTAGTATTGCAGAGTTCAAATAACCTCCAGTTTAAGACCTGATGTGTGGTTGGAGTCAAAAAGCATATACTGATGTGTGGGAAGGTTTTCTATGGACTAAAATGTCCAAGTCACCACCCTTCTTGACATGTTCAAAAAGTGTAATTTGTTATTCTGTGCCACCTCCCTCGTAAACTTTGTCCACTGAGTTTGTGTTTACTAAAAGCTTGCATTTCCATTGCTCTAATCTTAACATATGTATTGTCCACATACCTGAACCAATTATTTGGTGTTATTCCCCTGAAAAAGTTCAAGGCTCTCTTCTCCACCTCCTCCATAGACAGGTTAGCTGCAATGGGAGATACTGGTTGTTTTAAAGCACAGCCCTGTTTTTGTCTGTAGAAGTTATCCTTGAATTTAAAATAGGTGGTGTGGAGACAAAGGGATGGCACACCATTGTCTCTAGTGTCTCTAACTTTACTCCTCATTGACAAATTCTTTAGAATATCATGTGCCATGTTGCCACCTAAGGGTGATAGGATAGTATCCAGATACTTAGTATTCTTCTATATTAGAGTTAATGCTGCTCATAGTTGGTCTTAGGAGGGGCATATTCCTTGTGTATCTTACAAAGTTTTATAGTAATTGAGGTTTAACTAAGACACAGGTCCAACGTACGTGTGTGTGTGTGTGTGTGTGTGTGTGTGTGTGTGTGTGTGTGTGACATAACCCTGTATTTTTTTGTGAAACTGAGGAACTCATCCAAGTGTTTTTTTTAAGCAGTTTGTTTCCCGGTGAAAGAACTACCTGTAGAAGTGATAACACATCCCCTCCAACTTCTTGTTGTGCCCTTGCATCTTCCTGGAGGTACTTGGTTCAAGTAGTGCATTTCCAATACTGCTGTCCCCATTGATGAGTTTGTAAACTGCGATCATGTCACCTCTTAAGCATCTCTTTTCCAAGGAGAACAAATGTAATTTTTGTCGGTGGTCTTGAGATCTGACCCTCCATCCCCCTTCTTAATTTGGTTGCCTTTCTTTGAACCTTTAATAGCTCATGGACATCCTGCCAAAGGATTGGTGAACAGTATTTAACCGTGTACTCAAGATGGGGCCTTACCAGGGTTTTGAAAACTGGCAAAATGATATTTATTTCCCGTAAATAAATCCCTTTTAATAAAACGAGTAATTATATTATCTTGTATTAGCTACAGCTTGGCACTGCATGTTGTTAAGTCTGTGGTATATAAGGACCCCAGGATCCTTCTCCATCTCAGTTTTCCCCAGAGAAACCCAGCACAAGGTGTACTCCGTATGCATGTTCTTAGCTCCCAACTCTCAAGCAACACCCATTATCCACCTGGCCCAATCATCTGCTGGCTAGATTCTGCTATTGGCCATTTCAAATTGCCATAGCCAATAGCAGGCTGGCTATTGCACACGCCCAATTCCCCATTGTTTACATTCACCTGCCAGCTGAGGAACCTAGCTGTCATTCGTAACAAGATATAAACAGAGAATTCTTTGTTAGCAACTAAATACACATTTTTGCTAGCAACTACATTTTAGTGTGCACATGTGTATCAAGCAACTGGCAAAAAAAAAAAAAAATTGAGGCCATAGCATGTCCTCAATTCTTTTTGGCGTCTTATGGTTGCTTGAGACTTCTGGTTGCTTAAATGCCGGATAATGGGGAGTTTACTGTAATTGGATTTTTACCTTACCTGTAAAGTCTGTTACTTGGAGGAGTACATCAGAGGAGACAATTCAGGATATGCAGGTAAGATTTGACCAGCCTAAGGCACCACTGGTCTTGCATGAACACAATGTTTAGCATGTTATGCTGGGTCAGGAAGATTCACACATTTGCAGCATTGCTCATCTCAGGAAAACTTGGTTTAAACAAAGTTCAGACACGTTTTCACAGCTGTATGATCAATAGGCCCTGTCAAAATGGATTGATAGTAGCAAATGCCCACCAGCCATGGTCATGAAGTTTTTCCTGATCCAGCCAGATTCATTGATTGTCATTTCAAGTGTACGCACCACCTGCTGCCTTTACCTAGCTTCACAGATAATAACAATGGTTTCCTTTTTCAGAGTTCGTTATGATGCTGTCATCGAGATAACACCGGTTGAAGTTACAGGAAATAAAGCTCCCCCCCCACCAATGACTATGAATGTCAACCATGTATAACACTCAACGTTTGTAATAAAATCTCTCTATTTACCAATTAAACAGTTACATACAAATAAAAATTCATTAAATTAAAAAAATGCAAAATCTTATTACTGAGCACAAAACAAAACCCCCCAAAAATATTATAGTCACAGACATATTAGCTACAGAGGTGGAGAACACTTGAGGTGGGTTCAGCTCTCAGTCTAGTCTTAGTGAATGAGATCCCAAGAGACGAAAGATCCAGAGCAAGAAATATTGCCACCTGGTGGCCTGCTCCCATGTCATTCTTTAGAGTCCTTAGTGGTTTCCATAGTGTTTTGGCATTCAGTGTGTGAGAAGACATCCATGGTGTCATTTCACTTATCAAAATAAGGGAGGTAGAAGAACTGGAAACCAGGTTGCCCTCGCACGGCGCAGTAGATAAATATTACATGATACACTGCAAAAATAAGTGAGAAGGTAATATTAAAAGAAAGTTTTTCTTTTTAATAAATATGATACAATATGAATAACTGCGACACAAAATAGTCTGTTACCGAGCATCATCAAACCCCCCCCAAAAAACCAAACAACCACCAACCTAGGACAACATGGCTGAACAGGAAAGTGAAGTGAATTGGATAATTTTTCCAAATCAGCTATGTTGTCCTAGATCAGGGGTGCCCATCAGATAGATCACAATCTACCAGTAGATCGCAAAGCGAACACTGGTAGGTAGAGCGCGATCGGCTCACTGACCTGTGCCCTGTCCTCCCGCGGTGCGGCTGAATGTGTCAGACGCCGCAGACGGGAAGGAGAGAGGAGACTTGGGAAGCTGCTGCAGTGGAGGTAAGAAAAGACAGACAGGAGAGAGACAGCAGAGAAAGTGAGAGAACAGCAGAGAGAGAGGAGAGAGACAGCAGATAGAAAACAGGGGAGAGAGAGAGAAGAGAGGGCCGGTTCACACCACAAAGTCTGCGTTCCAGAGTGTTCAGCCTCTAGAACACATTGGAAGGCAAGCTGGCAGGCTCCCTGCGTTCAGGGGCGGGAGGGGGTGTGGCGGTGCATTGAAGTCAATGGCACCACAGCCACGCCCCCCACCCTCTGTCTGATCGCCCGCACCCGGAATGCAGGCACATTAATGCCTGCGTTCCGGTCCAGCTCGATCTGCAAAAATGCAGCATTTTTGCAGATCGCACTGGACCTGAACACAGGCATTAATGTGCCTGCATTCCTGGTGCGGCGATTGCACTGCCACGCCCCTGAATGCAGGTGTTTTTTCGTTTGGAGATCTACTTTTCAAATTACGAGCTCAATGAGATCTACCGACGAAGAATTGTGGGCGCCCCTGTCCTAGATTGTTGCCTTCTCCAAACTCTTTACCTTTTTAGTGAATAACCCTGCCAGTTTCAATCTGCAGCTAACCATGGCAAATGCATTATAGAAATGGTTGTTCTTATAAATGCTTTTCCCTGCCTGTGGATGTATATTCAGCACTGCAAGGGGATGTGCAGTGTTTCCGATTAAAAGAATGCTCGGCCCCATTGTTCTGAAAGTAGGCAGACACTCCCACTTAGCAGTCACTTTTTGCAAAGGCAATGGCATGGCCTAGTTCAATATAAAGAACAGAAAGAGGTATGAATTTGCATTCAGGGTTTGCTGACATTTTTGCAATGTTTACAGTTGACCTGGAGGGGTGTTTTTTCCTTCATAAATAACTGGACAGTCTCGTGAAAGGGCCATTCATCTTTACATAATTCCCACAAACTGATGTAAACCAGATTATAAAAAAAGATTAAGTGGTGAATATGTGAAATTGTATATACAGTAAACTCCCCATTATCCGGCATCCATGGGGATTGGTAGATGCCATATAAATGTAGTTTCTGGTTGCTTGAGTGCTACTATTAAAAAGTGGTCCAACTAATGCCATACCCCATACTATACCATAACAAACTCTGTATTGGCTTCATATCAACATTGAAATGCAGTAAATCACAAGCAAAGACAAACAGACACACATAAAACAAATCAAGACAAATAGGCACACAATCGTTTCCAGGATAATACATGCCGCAGATCAGCAGGTACACAGGGGATTTTTTTTCTGGTTAGATGAGAGTTCTGGTTAGCTGAATACCGGATAACAGAGTTTACTGTATTTGTAAAGTCAATTAGATCCATTAAAAAAAAAAAGGAAAAATTCTGTCACAAAGAAATCATTGGGATTGGGGAGATTTCCCTTAATTTCCTGTGCCATAGCCACAATATGTGAGGAAATCCCTCCAAAGTAAGAGAATCCATTGTCAGCAGGATCACTAGAACTAGTGTCCCCATTGGATGATTGCCCTTCTAGTCATGTTCTGGTGATGATGTAAAATTTGGGATTTTCTTTCACTTTTGCTCTTGATGATAATGGTCACCAGGACCAATAAAAGAGTGAATCTCCCTAAGGGAGACAAAAACAGCCCCCCCCCCCCTCCCCCCAAATATATCTCCACTTTATCCAAAACTAAAAAAAAAAAGTTGGGGCTTTAGTTCTACTTTAGGTGACAAAGAGGTTATCCATCAACAGCAATGAAAAGAAAAAAAAAAAAAAGAAGGTCTTACCCCCTGGAATCAGCAGCAGAAATCCAGGTACAAAAAAGATGGCACTGGAGACAGCTGTGAAGAAAGACGATCATATTAAAGAGATACTGTCAGCATGGCTCCTATCCATCACAACCGTGGCTCCCACATATATATGAAGGTTTCCATTTCCTGACACCAAGAAGTAGTGCTAATACCAGGGCAGGCAAATGCTATGGGTGATGCTGCAGTGGTATGTTCGGATTCTGAATTAGCACTGCTTCCCGAGCTGAGCAATGGGAGCCTCAAGCAATAAATGGGAGATTTGACTGTGACCGGTAAGCAGCTTACAGCCAGCTGTCAGAGGTGGCTTCAGAGTTTAGATATTTCCAGCAACAGATAAGACTGTAAATGGAATGTCTCATTCTCTTGCTCTCTGGTCTCTTGAGTAGTCAGTTCAGGCACTTTGCAAACTTGAAATTGCATCTGGCATGTGCAGAACAGAATTAATTGAATGCCCTTGTGCCTAGATGCGGTTATAAAACTACAGCAGATACTGCCACACAAACAGCCTCCTCTGCCTTTTATCTTGATGTTTAGTCTGCCACTGTACAATGAGCTTTGGTTAGGACTAGATCACTTTGTTAGAAAACACTTGTGTTGAACGCAGAAAAAAAAAAAAACCTACTTTAAAAATAAAAAATACCACCTTACTGGTAGTCATTACATAGGAACAAAACTACGATATTATGCTTTGCTGAAAACTCAATAAAAGCTATGATATTTAGCCAAATTTTGCCAAAATGCATTGGAGCCAGCAGATAAGATAAAATGCAAGTTTTGTGGGCTGTTTGTAAGAATGCAGTGTGGTTTTAATGGCTCCTGAGGGTTAGGGAAACACCTTTCATCTATCTTGGACTGGTTCTAAAAGTTAGCAGTATTCCTGATGGCAATGTTAAACACAATCCTTTTGTTTATCAATGTCAAATCAACAGAGACATTACCAAAGCCATGACATCAGCAGCAAGTGAATGACAAACAAAGCCATGACACATAATAACGGGAATTTCAGGGGGAAAAATATATTTTTTTTCTCAAATTTCACTTTGCTGCAACGAAATTTAGTCCAACAAACGAAATGTCGTACAGACTACGGCTAACGAATGTCGGAATCGTAAATTCGGATTCGTTTGCATTCGTTACATCTGTCTGGATACAGCCGAATCTCCTAATTTGGATTCGGAACGAATCGCACATGTCTAGTGTTTACGTTTTGCAATTTTACACTACAGGAGTCCTGTCTGCATGTTACTTACACTATTGAAGACTGACACAAGTTGGAATACTTGTGTCAGTATTTTCTTGAACCACCTTTTGCTTTTAAATAGTCTTTAGTCTGTTGGGATATGTAACTACTAACTTTGCACATCTAGACTTTGCAATGTTTGCCCACTCTTCCTAAATTTGCTAGTGACCATGTGTAGACTGCAGTCTTAAAGTCATTCCACAGATTTTCAATGGGGTTCAAGTCTGGGCTCTGACTAGGCCATGCCAGGACATTCACCTTTTACTCCTTCAACCACTGTGTGGTCATTTTTGCTGTGCGCTTTGGGCAATTGTTATGTTGGAAGGTAAACCTTCTCCCCATTGACAACTTTTTGGCAGAGGGCAGCAAATTTTCCTCAAGAATTTGACGGTATTTTGCACCATCCATTTTTCCTTCTATCCTGTGCTCCCGTCCCTGCTGCAGAGAAACACCCCCATAACGGGTGGTAAATATTACCACCTTCATGCTTTACTGTAGAAATTGTGTTTTTTTTAGATGGTGAGCTGTATTGGATTTTGGCCAGACATATCGTTTGGTGTTGAGGCCAAACAAGTCAAGTTTAGTCTCATCTGACCACAACATCTTTTTCCAGGGGGCCTCAGAATCTTTAAGGTGCGTTTTGGCAAAGCTCAGTCGTGACTGCATGTGGCCTTTCTTGAGGAGTGGCTTTTTTCTTGCAACCCTCCCATACAAGCCACATTTGTGAGAATTTGTGACATTGTTGTCACATGAACACAATGAGCACTCTGTCATAAATTCCTGCAACTGCTTCAGAGTTGCTGTAGGCCTCTTGGTAGCCTCTCTGACCAGTTTCCTCCTGGTTCCTTCATGCAGTTTGGAGCACCGTCCTGATCCAGGGAGGGTCTGTGTTGTACCAAATACCTTCCACTTCTTAATAATAGACTTCACTGTGCTTCTAGGCATTGATAAAGCCTTTGAAATTTTTTTGTATCCATCTCCTGACTTGTGCCTGTCCACAACCTTATCCCAGAGATCTTTTGATAGTGCCTTACCACCCATAGTTGATGGTTTGCTTCAGTTGCACTACCAGGGACTGAAATGCTCCAGAAAAGCTCTTTTCATGCTGAGCTAAATCAAAATGACCACAGTTGAAAGTCAAATGGCTTTGTGTGCCATTGAGAAGGTGATTAGCTACACTTGATTGAGTTTACAAGTCATTTTTAGGAGGGGGGTGATCCCTTTTACAACTTAGTGATTCTGTTTTTGATTTTTTTCCCCCTGACATGTTGGTGTTCCATCTTTCACTTGGATGTTATAAGTTGCACTGAGTGGCCCTAAGTAAATGCAGCTGGATTTAAAAAAAAAAAAAACCCCAAAACAAATTCAGGCTGAAAAGCAACAAAAAATGTGATTTTAAAAGAGGGGTGGTTCTTTTCTATATCCACTGTACATCATTGTGCAGAATTTAGGGATGCACAGATAGCGGTTTTTCGGTATGTAGTACGAGTACCGATATAGAGTACAGCTACTGGTAGCATCTGCTAGCATGAAGCCAGCTTCCCGGGCAATCAGGAAGCCGGGCGGCGTGTCATTACCCGCCGCCCAGCTTCTCAATTGCCTGGGAAGCTGGCTGCAGCCAGGACGGATCCCCACAATACTGTCGAGATCCATCCAGCTCCGTGAGCAACAACTGGTTCTGTATCTAGAGGCAGAGCCAGCTGTGCCCGCCCCCTACCCTGTCCATTCCTCTAGTCAGCGCTGGAGGATCGGGGAGGGGAGAATCCCTGCAGAGAGGGGTGACTGACAATCACCACTCTCTGCAGGGAGATGATCGGGAAGTGAGCAGATCGGTGGCACCTTTTTGCTAATTTCCCGATAACTAGACCCGACGTGTGACAGTTTTAATGTCACGCGAGGGCTCCAACTATGGGGATGAGTGTAATGCACTCACCACATAGTTCTACTTTAGGGAAAGAGCTGGGTCCTTTGGTTCCATAGGGGCTAAGCTACAACAAAGCACGGTACACATACCTGGTGATGGGCTCACTTGCAGTCCTATTCCCACAAATACAAACACTAAAATAAAAAAAAAAATAAGATGACATGAATATATGAAGACTGAAGGATGCCTGGGAAGGACAGATGAAAGATGGCACTCACCCAGTCCTAACAGCAGTAGAAGAAATGATGACACAACAACTTTCTTGTTCTTCTGTACAAGGGGATGTCTCGTCCAACTGCTCAGAAGAATGAACAACAACAATTATGATCCAATTGTAAGTCTAGTGGATAAATGTTTAAAAATTAAAAAAAATCTGTGGTGTGCCCATAAAGGGCAAAGTAATACGTTTGCATTAATGCTCTTTTCCCCAGCAGCATAAACTCACTTTCTTCCCTCCTCACTGTTCTGACTAAAGTTTATCATATAAACAAACTAGTTATAGTTTATGGACATGTGCAGCGGCTAAAAAATTTAGTTTTGGATTTCGTTTATTTTGTTTTTGGAATTCGGATCCTATATGTGTTTCGTTTCGGGAATTGCTGTAAACAAAGCTAGCAGGGTCTTGTCCTGTATTAAAAAGGGGATGTATTGCAGGGACAAGTCTATAATTTTGCCACTTTATAGATCATTGGTTCGACCTCATCTGGAGTACGCGGTCCAGTTCTGGTCACCAGTACTAAGAAAAGATGTCCTTGAGTTGGAAAAAGTCCAGCGAAGGGCAACCAAACTAATTAGGGGTATGGAGGACCAGAGCTACGAGACAAGGCTACTAAATTTAAACATGTTCACATTAGAGGTGAGGAGATTAAGGGGGGATATGATTTCCATGTACAAAATGTTCAATGGTGGTAGCAACATTAGCGATAAACTGTTTAAAATTAACTCCGTTACAAAAACTAGAGGCCATCACCTAAAATTGGTGGAAAAAAAATTCCAGCACAAGGGGCGAAGGGGGTTCTTCACAGTAAGATCAGTTAGGGTCTGGAACTCACTGCCACAGGCGGTGATTTCAGCAAATAATGTGGAATTGTTCAAGAAACTTTTGGACGATTTCTTAAGGGACCGTAATATACAGGGGTACGGGTACTCCTAGAATGAGATCCTAATAGGTTGGACTTGATGGACTAATGTCTTTATTCAACCTCAAATACTATGTAACTATGTAACTATGAATTGGATTCTGATTCTGTTTCGGAATTCGGATTCTGTTTTCGGAATTCGACTTGAGGTGGGGTAGCAGAATTGGCACATTTGTCATTTCTGGTTGCTGTGCTCTAGTCTATACTATTAAAGGGACATTAAAATCCTTCTCTTAATTTGTTTTTATCTGTTTAAATGTTAACAGTGCACGCACAGGATTTGGACGAAATTCGTTCCAAATCCGAAATTTCGGATTCGTATATGTTATATTTCGGAAATTCGGATGGTCCGAATCTACGAATTTCTGAAATTTCATCCGAATTTCGATTCGGGAACGAAACGCACATGTCTAATAGTTTATACTAATAATATTTTCAACTAATAATATCTATTATATGTATAATTAACAAGAAATGGATATTGTGGGAACTGCAAAAATCATGTAATTCTGTTTGTTTATGAGTCAATGTAGTTGTTCTCATATGATTGGGACGTCCAAAAGCAGTCCAACTGAAGAGTAGGCAACACCGTAAAGAAAAACGCTAGCAGGCCCACATAAATATTAAAACTGGGGGAAGACTGCAGCTGAAAGACAGTACTTCCAAAGATGGCATCAGAAGAGGCCTGAACATCCACCTGGCAACATTTATGAAGAGAAGACCAGGTAGCAACCTTGCAAATTTGGGAAACAGTTGCCTGATGCCTAAAAGCATCATAGAGGCACTCAAAAGACCTAGTAGAGTACACCATGACAGGAAAAAAGGTGGAACCTTGTCCTTAAAATGACAAACTCAGGAGTTAAATTTTAAAATGCATTCAAATATAACAAAAATGTAGCTTATTTGTGTATCACTCAGCTGGAGATCCTCAAATCATCTCTGAATTCGTGCAGACACTGTCCTTCCTTCTGGAGGGTGCATACTTTGTTGTTCCCCATGTGTGTTGTAAAGTAGCCACCACTCCAAACTCGCTCCAGTGAGGGGTTACAATTTCAATACAATTTGGGAAACTAAACCTGAGATTTTTAATAACCACTTCTTGAAAGTAGATTCATATTTGTTACATTATGCTTAATTCACATAACTAAACACAGCAAGATAAGGATACTTTAAAAAAAAAATTCTATTTTCAGTTAGATGAGCTAAAATAAAGATATGTATTCTTTTGATAAAACTTTGTGAATCTAGTCTATTGCATCTTTTCAACTGTCAAACTGTGATTATCCACATATGTCTACAGTTGATTTACAGTTAATATATACTTTAAAAAAATACAAATCATTTAAAAATTGTATCTTTCCATCAGGGTTGCCAAGCATTTTTTTTAAAAAAGATTCACTTAGCCTTTTGCAGATGTTTTGAATAGAGTATGTATCTTGCGTTTTATTATTGTTATACAGAATTTATATAGCGCCAACAGCGCTTTACAATATAAGGAAGACATTACAATTACAATACAATTAAAGACAATGTGGTGAGGAGGGGCCTGCCCCTGATGGCTTACAATCCAACGGGAGGGGGAAGTGATACATGAGGAGGTAGCTGTGTGGGGATGAATTGTTTGAGAGATTGATATTTTAGAGGTTAGGTTGGATAAACTTCCCTGAAGAGATCAGTCTCAAGGGACGCCTAAAAAGGTAGACAGAGTAGGAGATAGGCAGACAGGTTGGGGTAATGAGTCCCACAGAACAGGGGAGACTCTGGTGAAGTCCTGGAGGTGAGCATGGGAGGAGTTGACACTGAGGAGTTTTACTGTGGTTTCCCTGTTTATATCACTGCTGAGTGCTATGTACACCACCATGCACCTACTGCCACCAGGGCTTGAACAAGGGGTGGATTACCCACAAAATTGATCAGGCAAGTATATCTTATTTATTCTATCTCCTGCAAAATTAGCAGTTGATCGCTCACTTCCCGATCATCTCCCTGCAGAGAGCAGTGACTGTCACTCGCTGCTTCCTGCAGGGACTTCCTGAGTGCTCAGGAAGTCGGCTCCATGTTGTTTGGCTGGATCGATTGTGATTTGGTGGGAAGCCCATTTCCCGGCCAATCAGCATCGAGCTGGCTTCCTGGCCAATCAGGAAGCTGGCCGGCGAGTAATGAATCAGGAAGCTGTCCAGCTGGCTCAATGCTGATTGCCCAGGAAGCCGCTCCATGTTCCCCTACGGCACTGCCGGTCAGAGGAAATTTTCCTCTGACCGGAAGTTCCCGTATCGCGGAAGGTATCAGAGCATTTGGGCGAGTACGAATACTCACCCAAATACTCTGTATTGGCACCAATACTAGTATCTGTGCATCCCTACTTGTAACATTTTAGATCCCTGGGAATAAGCTTCTTTACATCGAGGCCCTGGATGTGGAGTGTGGATTTGCATACATTGAAGGCCAGAAATATGCTTTAAGACGAACGAACACACACACACACAGCAGCATGCTGTTGCCTGCTCATGACACAAGCGTGATGTGTAAATTTTTTTTATCCTGGAGTTTGACTTTAAAAGCCGATATGAAGAAGGTATAGAGTGATTACCTGAAGCACTCTTGGTTGGACAGTTGGGTACTGCTACTAATGGTACTGAATGAGCATTGGGAACTGTGAGAAGAAAGGGTTGACAAGCCCCTACAATAAAAAGAAAGCAATGTTAGACAATATTATTACCATACTTTATTATAACAGCCAACAAATATATTATTTAGCTAGGTGTATACTGTATAAAAAGCAAATGGAGCACTTGGCCAACGTGGATTAAAAGCAATGGGGGGAATTTATCAAAACTGGAGCAGACAGATTCTGGAGCAGTTGCCCATGGCAACCAATCAGCGTCTCTCTTCAGTTTACTCAGTTAGGAAAATAAGAGAGAAGCTGATTGGTTGACATGCACAGCTGCTCCAGTTTTGATAACATTCCCCTCAATGCAATTTCTAACTTTTAGGGACTCTTTCATGCAAAGTAAATGTTGTATATTAATAATGAAAACAAGGTCTTCCCAAATAACTACAGATCTGAAAACTCAGCTCCAGCCAAATATTTTTGTTTTGGATGAAGTGTGGAAGGGTGGGAGCTTCTGTCAGGGGAATTCCTCTGCTGCAGCTAGTTAGGTAGCTGCAGAAGTAGCCCCCTTCTGGGTTCAGAGGAGCTCAGGTTCAGGCCAATTTGGAGATCATCTGTACTGGCTATCAAGCTGATGCAATGGAAAAAATACTGCTCTCTGTGCAGGTATCCTTTAAAAGTAAACCTGCCATGAGAAGAAAAAAAAAAAGCCATTGCTGTCCACTTTTTCAAAACAGGGAGTTGCCTGGCTGTCATCCTGACCACCTGCTTTAATATGTTGAATTGCTGACCTAATGAGAAGTATGAAGATAAGAACTTGTAATTTTCCAGGACAATGGCTCAAAAAGTATTACAGATACTGAGTAAACATGATAGCCAGGTAACTAGTATTTTCTAATGGTACTGAATGAGCATTGGGAACTGTGAGAAGAAAGGGTTGACAAGCCCCTACAATAAAAAGAAAGCAATGTTAGACAATATTATTACCATACTTTATTATAACAGCCAACAAATATATTATTTAGCTAGGTGTATACTGTATAAAAAGCAAATGGAGCACTTGGCCAACGTGGATTAAAAGCAATGGGGGGAATTTATCAAAACTGGAGCAGACAGATTCTGGAGCAGTTGCCCATGGCAACCAATCAGCGTCTCTCTTCAGTTTACTCAGTTAGGAAAATAAGAGAGAAGCTGATTGGTTGACATGCACAGCTGCTCCAGTTTTGATAACATTCCCCTCAATGCAATTTCTAACTTTTAGGGACTCTTTCATGCAAAGTAAATGTTGTATATTAATAATGAAAACAAGGTCTTCCCAAATAACTACAGATCTGAAAACTCAGCTCCAGCCAAATATTTTTGTTTTGGATGAAGTGTGGAAGGGTGGGAGCTTCTGTCAGGGGAATTCCTCTGCTGCAGCTAGTTAGGTAGCTGCAGAAGTAGCCCCCTTCTGGGTTCAGAGGAGCTCAGGTTCAGGCCAATTTGGAGATCATCTGTACTGGCTATCAAGCTGATGCAATGGAAAAAATACTGCTCTCTGTGCAGGTATCCTTTAAAAGTAAACCTGCCATGAGAAGAAAAAAAAAAAAGCCATTGCTGTCCACTTTTTCAAAACAGGGAGTTGCCTGGCTGTCATCCTGACCACCTGCTTTAATATGTTGAATTGCTGACCTAATGAGAAGTATGAAGATAAGAACTTGTAATTTTCCAGGACAATGGCTCAAAAAGTATTACAGATACTGAGTAAACATGATAGCCAGGTAACTAGTATTTTAAAAAAGGAGACCAGCAACTGGCAGTCCCTATATTTCTCTCATGACATGTTAACTTAAAAGCAGTGTTCTTCATAGATGGGATAAAAGAGTGACTAGATGGTAAAAATAAGCAAACAAAAAAGGGGCAATGTAAAATGACAACTAGGAAACAGTGAAATCTTCATTTTCAGTAAAAACAAATATTTTTCCCATGATTGTGATTCCTACTGAACCAGACTGAGAGACCATTTAAAGGCTCAGGAACCCTTTTTGCAGGTGTTATGGCTTAATTAGCTAATTAGAGTGGGACACTTTGAGCCTAGAATATTGCACCTTTCCATGCAATGAGTCTATCTCATATATTAGTTTAACCTTTTAAGTTGCATTAGTGAAATAAATGAACTTTTGCACGATATTCTAATTATTCGAGTTTCACCTGTATATATCACAAACTGGCAAATAGGTGAAAATCTAGGATATCCAAAATTGTAAAAGAGGTAAACAACTTAAAACCACTATAAATGATGGCCCTAAGATTACTTTTCTAGTTGGTGTTTGTGGGGATACACAATATGTGTGTCATGTAGTCAGTGCTTAAGTATGTCCATGCTTGTATAGGTAAGCAGGTCATTTAAAGCCCATTTTCATCTTTGCTGAGGGTTTTATTTTCCTTTTAAACGTGCCATTTCATTGTTATTTTTTTATACTTATTTTAAGGTTATTTTTACAAGGGGGTCAACAGAAGAAGTGACAGGTACTCTTTTAGGGACATTGGAAGTCTATCAGTGACAACAACAATTTGCAGGACTTGTTTTGTTTTTTTTGTTGAGCCAGCAAAACAGCTAGGCAAAATATTCTGCCACAAAGCCCCAGGGAAATCACTAGTAAAGTGGGGAGATAAATACAGCATGTGGACTCCTGCTTCAGTACTTTGAGTCAAAGATCTGAATCAACAATTCAAATAAGTAACTATATAGATACACTAACTTGGGTCAGTGAATCACAAAGTATATATGCATACCAGGTAGACAAAAGTAGTATTTTAAGAAGATCAGCATTGGCAAAAGTTTCAGTTTAAGCTAAACTCACACAAAAAAAAAAAAAAAAAAAAAAAAGGAAGAGAAGGGCACTCATTGCAGCTAGAAGAAGTTTAACTTCCAACAGAGGTAGACTTGCTTACAAATATACTGTAAATAAATATTACTGTATACGCACACACATACAAGATGAAAATATATCAAATTAGCACTGCCGGGGTCCATAGGAGTGGATGAGAGCTTTCACCTCGCACAGATGACCCACAACATGAAGCCAAGTCAATGTAAAGAAGTTCTGTCAGGCAGGATCTACTAAAAAGCATAGTGCTGGCTAACATTTTTAGGTCGCTGGAAGCTGGAGTAATTTAACCTGTTGTCAGTTAAAGTACCGCAGCGCTGAATACTGAAAAATGGCCTGGATGGGAAGGGGGTTTAACACCGCGGATGTCAACTGGTTAACCACATGTGGCAAAACTAAAAAAAAAAAAAAGAGTGGGGTCCCCTTCCTGTCTGTCCAGATCTATATGAATCACAAGATTGGCTGGACAAAAAAAAAATACACATTTGTTTTTGTTTTTACATTTACCTTTCTAGATTTTTAATTTTCACACGTTCTGTTTCTTCATAATTTTCTAGGTTCTGGGAAGAAAAAAACCAAACCATTTAATATATACGTCATCAAAGAACACAAAACTAAAATGATCTTTCTTTTGTTGAAAGCAGGGAGGGAAAGAATGAGAAACAGGTCAAGGATTACTGAGGTAGGCATGCATTCTTGTAGCTTTAATCACTATAAAATGCAGAGAACATGCAGTTTTCAGTGAGGGAGTGTTGTGACTCAGCACTGGAGGGGCGAGTGAAAGAACTCCTACAGGGTGCAAGTTAACTTTCCTGACATGACATTTAAATCATTCTTAATGTTATCCTGACTCAGTAAAGCATACAAATCAAGATTTATATAAGAGCACAACAAGTTACAAAACATGCGGACTAGACTTTACTTAATGGAGAACTCAATAAATTCTAACCAAGGATAGGTTGAGGAAAAATACATAAGCAAGGATTACCTTAAATGAAAACTACAAAATAAGCATAATCAATAGATCCATATACAGTCGTGTGAAAAAATAATTATACCACATGGAAATTGACTTTTTCAACATATTTGAACATAAAACAGTGCCCACAGAGGAAGGTGATGTACTTGAACATATGAAACATAAATGGTATTTTCATTTTTTTTTTTATCTCAGTAAATGAAAATGCAGATTGGTCAGGCTAAAAACTGAAGTGCACCCCTATACACCACCTCTTCAAATACATGCAATTGGAACCATTATTAGGTGCCAGTGATTTGAACCACCTTTAGGGAGTACGCAGATGGAACCTGTCCCATTTCACCTTTCAGTAACTATGGTCTGGTGTTGTACTTACTTGACGTGTATAGGGTCATGCCATCATTAAAAGTGCTCTCCGAGGTCCTCAGGAAGAAGTATGTGGATGCCTTACGTTTATACATGGCTAAAGAGATATACAGTATATCTTCCCCATTGGTCAATGAGGGCAACCATACCATTAAATAGGGAAACAGGAATGGGTAAGGCCAGCTATAATTTGTACAGAAAATATCTGATCCAACTTCAGCTGCCCAAGTCTGATTAGTTTGACATACTGGTTTAAAGTAAGGGGGGGAAAAAATGAAATGCAACAAATCTCCCAAATATATGCACATTTTCCATGGTTAATGTATGCAAGTATGCTGCTCATACAGAAAAATACCTGTTGATCTACCAGAAATCAAGTGTGCCAACTTCCTGATTGAGCTGACAACACAACGCATCTACTGTACTTAAATCCCAGGCAGCGTTGTCACCCATACCTTGGGCTACAATAATCCTACTAGCCCCCACCACTCTCTGCCTTATCCACATAATTAGATTGATTTGTTTCTGAGCAAAAACAATGCAGCTACCCTGACTCCCAAGATCCAACCTACATACTGTGTGTAGGGAAGGGGAAAAAAAAAAAAAAGAAGAAGGACAGGGGATATCATTATTTCAGAACACCCATATTTTTAGGTCAGAGAAAGGCAACACTAAACCTTCTGTTTCAACTGCCCAGGTTTACAGATCATATTAAAAGTAGTATTAAACTCTCAATGTTTTTTTTCCCAATAATAAATCCAGAACAAATTTACTGTACAATGCCAAGCAAAGCATTGCTTTACATTTTTGCCCAACACTTGCAGTCATCATGTTTCTGAACAGCTGCTTCCAAGTCTCTCAGCTCAGCTTCCCTGAACTTCCTGCCTAGTACAAGATCACAACAGAAAAAGCGCAGATTCCAGCAACTGTTCATCTACTAGCTTAGAGGTAGTAGCTTGATTTGCTGTGTCTGAATATCACTTCAAAGAAATACTGTACTGAGAGAATTACCTGCTCATGCATCACTTGCCCCTCCCAATTATATTGTAATCCCTCACAGACAGGGCCCTCCTTACCTTCTTCTCTTGAATTGTATTGTAATTGTCATGCTTTCCTTATATTGTAAAGCGCTGCGCAAACTGCTGGCGCTATATACATCTTGTATAATAATAATAATAATAATAATAATAATAATAATAATAATAAATAGGGTAGGCTGCCATTGCTGATCTCTCCTGAGAATGCTCGCTGCCTGGCAGTTATGCTGCAAATGAACAAAGCATTTATGTTAACAGGCACTTTTCAGTAGAACTAGGAGGGCAAACGTATATTTTTTTTTAGTTGAAACTGAAAATTTGATCAACAGTAGTAATCCTTCAATTGTTTTTCGAAAAAAGTACAGCCAAAATTACAAAAAATTTGATGCTATAAGATATTGCAAAAAAATTACAATTAGCTTTCAGTATCTGTTATGTTTGGTTATACCTGTAATTGCTGTAAAAGTGTCTACTTTACCCAAAGTGAACTGTTTACAGCAGAAGTCCGGCCACAGATGTCAAACTCCCCCTTCCCGCACAGCTCTCAAGAGACCCGCAACCACCTGCGCCCGCCCTGGCGAGACCCCGCACATCCTCCTGACACCCTGCAAGACCCTGCCCTGCACCCTGCAAGCCTCAGATGCAGCACAACCCTGGTGAGCAACAGAGAGTATGTAGCTTCATACTGTTCTGCATTCCTGTATAATGTATTGCTGGGATTTGTAGTCCTCTATAGCTGGTGGTATTCTGCACTGCGTACTTTGTGGTTAAATTGTAGGTCGGCTAGAACTATGAGGTGAGTGGAAATCACTCATCTCATAGTTCTCCTTTAATTAGTTTTGTTGCCCTTCTCTGGACTCTCTAGCTCGAAGACATCTTTTCTGGGGATTGGGGACCAAAACTGAATTGCATACTCAAGATGAGGCTGAACCAGTGATCTATAAAAGTGGCAAAATTATTGCTTTGTCTCTAGAATACATCCCCTTTTTAATGCATGACAGTAGTCTGCTAGCTTTGTTTGCCGCAGCCTGGCATTACATGCTATTGTTCAATCTGTAGTCTAGTGGAGTACCCATTAATGTGTATTCTGCTTGCCCATTTTTAACCCCAAAATGCTGGAATTTGCAGTCCCTTTACAGATTGGAGTCAGTGGCAGAACTACTAGGGGTGCAACGGTTGCAGCTGCGACTGGGCCCTGGCGTTCCACCACTGTCCTAAAACCATTAGTCTGTATTGTCTTACAAAAGCTGTGACATGAGACAAAAATAAATAAGTAAAACAGTAATTGGCATCAGCAAGCACTTAAGTAAATGTATCGGTACCTGTACTCGGTATGGAAAAAATGGTATTGGTGCATCCCTACTAAAAATTCTAATGAAAGTCCACCCTAGGGATTTCAATGCTAAGCTTTACTGTGATAAATAGGCTTACTTTACATTTTTATATTTAAACTCACCTTATATTTATGCCGATTCTGCTGATTCTCATCTCCACTAAAATGCAGGGCCCCAAATCTTGGTCCAGTGTCTTCAATAGACACCTCAAATGCATCATCAATTGTGAAATTACCCATCAAACTTGTGGAAAGCTGAAGTTTGACCTGCATAGTATGGGAAGATAATTTAATGAACACTTGGTAAGAATCATCACATTCCACATCAACTGTATTATACACATTTCTTCCAAATTCTGGACTCTACTGATCCAAAACCACAATATTATATTTGATGTCAACAATAGCCAAGAGAGACAACAGATGTTGTAGTCAAATGCCTCGCTGTATGTTGCACATTTTCCCTTGTGAACTATCTGAGATGACTTTGTAAAGAAAAATTAACTAATGGGGAGTCAAGAATAACAATATCAGGACACTCAAGACATTCTGTATACAAATTAATCCCAGTCTCCTCCTAGGGTTAACTAATGTTCTTTAACAACAACAAAAAAAAAGAAGTTTAGGTGTTAAGACAATACAGTGAGTTCTGGCAAAATAAATCATCCTGACCCTGGATTCAATGTCTAGTGAGTCACTGACCTGGGACTAGTATGCAAGAGTTCACTGGCGGCACGATTGTTAAAGGTCAGTGACTTAATAATTAGTGAAGCCCTTTATCATGATAGCCACAGAACCTTTTCATTACCAGCAGCAGTTAGCATATACAGTCATGTGAAAAATTAAGACCACCCCTTGGAAATTGTTGACTTTTTCAACAATTTCAACAGGCCAACCAACTTGATCTTGATTGTTCCAGTCTCCGAACTGCAGTCTTGCTCTATGTTCTTTTTGGACAGCAAAGGCTTTTGCCTAGCTCACTTCCCACCCAAGTTAAAGTTTTTAATTGTAGAAGCATGCACTTTGATCCCAACTGTTGCAGGAGTTACCTGAACCCCTCACAATTAAATTATGTGTTTTAAAAGGGACCTATTTTAGCATCTTATGGTCAGCTCTTGGGGTTGAATTTTCTGGGCAGGCCAGTCCTAGACAAATTATCAGACATTTGAAATTTACACCACTTGTAGAGTATTTTTATTTTCCTTACAGCGAGATCAGCTGTGCCGGGTGCGGCCAGGACCGGCAGGGCTGCTCTGTCACTGTAGATCAGAGAGAGATTGGTGCAGTGACACACTGGGAGTCTCAGCTGCCGTTGTGATGTGCGGGGTCCCTTGTGTGTCTTTGTGCCTTTAAGGAGGTTGGGCTGCCTCATGGCGAACCTGCACCCAATTTTATCTTTTGCCACATGTGCTCCAAGGTGGAGACTCTCATAGGTTAGAGTTAGGACCGCACTACACAGAAGAGCCTTGACGAGGCAGTGCGGCTTTCACATATTCTGCAGAAGACGTGTATCTAAAACCTCTGTTTTTAACCTTAGCGGTTAGAGAGGTTATTTTTTTTCTTTTTTGCATGCTGGCTGGTGAGTGTGCTGGGAAACTTTTTGCAGTTGTACTGTTTAAAGCCCTTCCATGTGCACCTTGCTTGAAAGCAAGTTATGAGTTGATGATTGTGTTTGCCATTTGTTTTGCTTTCCATAGGGAGATCGTTACATGATCTCCCTCTGAACTCCTCTCCTGTCCCCGAATGCAGGAAGTGATGTATATTACATCACTTCCGCATTCAGCTGTCATTCTCCAGCTTCTGTAGCTGGGGATAAGCTGATGAAGCAGATCTCTGCTTCATCAGCTTCTCTGGGGGTCCCTAGGTTGACATTAGGGGTCCTAGAGACTCCATAAAGGGGACCTGTCTGTGTAAATTGGCCATCACATAGGGGGCTTCTTAGTGAAGTGAATAAAAAAAAATTGAACAAAATTAAAAAGTTGCCCCCCCCCAAAAAATGTAAAGTCAAATAATTTTTTTTTTTAAAGTCCCCTGCCCCCACATACACATGCGTTGGGTGCGCCTACGTGTGAAAATGGTGATTGCGCCCATTGCGTCACACATGTTACATATCACTGCGAAAGTCAGAGTGAGGGCAATAATTTTAGGGCCTTTAATCACTATTAACACTAGCAGTAAAAGATTTTAAAGCGTCGCCTATGACCAATTTTGTGTACGATTTTTTTGATTTTGCGGGCGGAAATAATTTAAACATTTGACATGTTTGGTGTCGTTACCCGACGTGACCCCATCTTTTATATTTTACCAAAAATATGGTAAGAATAAATGTTTTTTTTTTTTAAACATAACGTAAGGTACTTTTTTCATTATATAGTAAAAAATAAACCCCAGTGGTGATTAACTGCCTCCGGGCCGGTCGTAGTAGAAAAACGGCCGGCCCGGAGCTCTCTAGATCTGAGCGGGCGCATTAAAAACAGGCAGCGATGCCTGTTACCATACAAGCGATCCGCCGGCTTTAGAGCCGGCGGATCACGTGTATGGGGTGCCGATCGGTGTCCCCCCTCCGCGGCCCCCCCCTGCCGTTGTCCCGCTGATCCCGGGCTCCGCTGTGCCCTGGTGCGAGCCCGGGATCAGCATGTCGGCTGTGTCACAGGGGATCAGAGAGAGCTCGGTACACGAGCTCCCTCCGGTCCCCTCTCCTCTGCAAGAATGCGGAAGTGTTGTATAATACATCACTTCCGCATTCTTGTGTCACTCTCCAGCTTCAGAAGCTGGAAAGAAGCTGATGGAGCAGATCTCTGCTTCATCAGCTTCTTTTGGGGGGTCCTAGGTGACATTAGGGGTCTTGGAGACCCCTGATGTCTCCATAAAGAGGACCTGTCACATATTTTGCTATCACATAGGGGGGGGTTTATTAGCCCCCGTATGGGATAGCAATAAAGTTAAGTGGAAGAAAAAAAAATTACGTTCCGCCCCAAAAAAAGTTACACAGAATAAAAAAAATTTTTTTTAAACTCCCCACCCATACATACACGCATGCAAACATGCGTCAGGGCGCATACGTGCAAAAAAGACGATTGCCCCCATTACGCCGCACATGTTACATATCGCCGCGAACGTCCGAGTGAGAGCAATAAGTCTAGGGCCATCAATCACTGATAACACTGATGAGCGGTAAAAGCTTTTAAAGTGTCGCCTCTGGCCAATACTGGGTATGGGGGTCTAAACACCTGGTCTTGAAGTGGTTAAATATCACCAAAAGAAAGCTCCATCTGTCCCAAAAAATGTTAACATAAATTGCAAGGCTACAGTCTGGTCATGCTGACTGGTGAAACACCCTAAAATTTGTCAATCCCTGTGTATATTTAAAACAGACAAAAAAGGGAGAACACAAGCTGGGTCTGTATATGATGCTCTGTTAGGACAGCCATGCTTTACAAAACAGTTAAACATAGAACCTTGGAAAGCACTCTATAATTAAGTGTATGTTTGTTTTGTGACCTGACACTAGGAGAATGCTTTGCAGTGGCTGCCATTTTGCATACAGTAAAAACCTTACACAAGCATATACAGTATTTTCTTAGGGAACTCTAGCACAAGCATAAAATGTGCCCATTTAAATGGATTTTCTACTGGTAAAGCTATAACTGCATCTATATACAGTTAACACTACTGAACAGTTCTTGAGAGCTCTTCGTATGCCCCCTAAACATCCATGTATCCATGCATTCACATCCTCCCAGCTGCATAATTACATTGCTTGTTAAGGTGCCCATACACTGCACGATTCTCGTACGAGAATGGCGGGAAATCCCGCGATCGTACGAGAATCGCGCAGTGTATGGAAGGCGTGCGACCGTTTCTATTGTACGGTCGCACGTCTTCAGTCGAACCAGCAGGCTAGAAAACCCGAGTTAGTGGTTTGACAACTGCCGAACGGGCCGGTGTACGCACACAGCCCGTTTGCAGTCATCGTAAGCCCGCCCCTCATTGCAGTCATCGTAAGCCCGCCCCTCAGGGGGGCGGGCTTGCGATGATCCCAAGCACAATCTGCCTGTCCAAGATGGGCAGATCGTACGTTTTTTTAAGTACTTTACAACCCTCGCAAGACAAAAGTCTTGAGAAGGTTGTAAAGTGTATGGCCACCTTTAGACTACCAGATAATTTCTGAGAAGTTCTGTAGTTAGGCTGCTAACAATTATGGCTCCAATTCTATCCAACATCCACATTTTACAGTTTCACCTTAATGATATTTTAGCTCAGTAAGCCTTAGAGAGGGATATTTCCCTCTGTTTATTTGGCTGCAAATAAAACTGCTAATTAAGTAAAAGGGTATCTCTGGTTAAAAACTATAAATAAAATATGTATTTCGATATTAAACCGTACATATTGAAGATGTCCATAGGATATGCTTCCTCAATGCATTGACACATGGGCTGCGGTGCCATTGAGTTTAATGCACCGTCACGTCCCCTCCCACCCCAAAACAAAGTGAGCCGGCCGAATTGCATTCCAGGAGGCCCAGGGGTCTGTTTAGACCACTAATATTTCCCCGAAGCCCCTAAATGTAAATAACATTTAATAAAAAATGAATAAAAATATTTACAAAAATGTAAAAAGTTTATAAAAAATACAATATTTTTTTAAAAATTTAAAAAATTAAAATAAAAAATTTTTGGTTTCGGTTTGACAATTTTTTTATTTCAATGTAGTTTCGGTTTTGAAATTTCCATTTCGGTGCACCTCTAATTATTTTGAGCCTGTAGGATTCAGTAGCTGCACGTAAAGTGTAATGTGTAACATGCACTTGCCTTGACCAGTTTAAAAACCGATCTGAATAAAGCAAAATTAGATCAGTAGGAAATACTGAATACGCCTTATTTAGAAGTATATAAATGCCGACAATGAACTTCTCTTATTTTCTCCCTTTTGGTCTGTTAAATATACTGTTAAAAGTAATATCTGTTAGATAACTGCAAGAAAATACCAGTTGATCTGCAAGAAATCCTGTAAGCTTGAAATCCGTCACACACTATGCATGTTTTGCCTGTTTTTAGTTCTGTGGATTACAGAATTCCTCCCCCTATATTATGAAGAGCAGAGGGGTAGGTGTTCTAGTTAATTATTTATTACAAGTATTTATATAGTGCTGAGAATGTACACAACGATTTACATACTGTACAATGAGTCTCTGCCCTCAAGGTCTCTGCCCTTAAGGAGCTTACAATCTAAGGTCCCTCTCCCACATGCACACATTCTAGAGCCAATTTAGACAGGAGCCAATTAACCTACCAGCTTGTCTTTGGAGTGTGGGAGGAAACTGAAGTACCTGGCGGAAACCCCCGGATTTAAATCAAGGACCTCAGTTTTGCAAGACAGCAGTGCAAACCAGTAACCACTAAGTCACTGTGCTGCCCAACCAGTTCTATAGTCCTAATACACTTCATGTGTAAAGTTGCCCATACACCTTACGAATATGGCCCGATTTTCGTATGCGATCGCGTTTTCGTCCGATATTCGTAAGGTTGATGGGCAGTGCACAACTGCAAATACTGTACAATCGATCGACTTTTGACTAACCAGCGGGTTGGAAAACTTCTGTCGATCGTACAATTTCTGCAAAGTTGGTGGCGTTTTCGTACGTCAAAATTCGTACCATTAACACTGATAACGCGCAAACGAAAATACGTGCAATTACCGCAATTCGTCCAGGTGTTTTTTTTTTTTTGGTAACTACAGCTGATTGAACCTTGCGATAATTGGGGCAGGATGGGGCTGCCGTAGGAAAATCGCAAGGCGCATGGGCAGGTTCACACCATTTTCTGGTCCAGATCTGGTGTGAACCTGCCCGCAGTTCCAGCGCATTCCAGACCACATAAAATGAGACCTGCAGTATTTTTCTGGTCCGGAACGGACTGCGCTGATGTGAATAGAGGCCAGACATACCATAGGGAGACATTAGGATGCATTTTGGGTCTGGAAACTATTTGGTCTGGTGATGATGTGGAGGTGGTGTGAATGGGCCCCAAGGGTGACAATGCTGCTCCCCATAGTTACAGGATGGAAGTGGAAAACATCCCGACAGAGCAGCAGAAATCTATGTGCTTTAAATGCCTATCAGCTGCTTTACCAGCTGTGCAGCTTCCAAGGTTACTGCTTCTCAAGGATTTCCATGGCATTCCTTTGCTTGACACAACCTGCCAGTGAGAACTGTAGATTTGGCCTGGCAAATCCACAGAATGACAATCGCCTTCCAAGGCTGTGCAAAAGAAAGCAGTGGCAGCCTCAAAACTAGCTGGTGGCACTGATATTTGGGTCCAAAGAATGGCACACTGGTAGGATTTCCACATTCATTCTGAAACGCAGATCTGTCACATGCCATACACCACACCAAGTTTGTGTAATCAAAACCTTCAAAACCAAATGGGTTTATATTTCTGCAGTGCTCTGGCTCAGTGGGTTAGCATGTCTGCCTTGCAACACAGAGGCCCCTGGTTAGAATGCATTGAAATATCTTATCTGCATACCATTCAGCTTAAGAATGCCATCTTTAATGATGTTCTTGCAGCATAATATGAAACATGCAATGTTTCGGAACCACGCAGGGTTTCTTCGCCAGGTATTTCTGTGTATGCATGTCTTAGAGTAAGAATATCCTTATCGAGCCTGATAAAGGGGACTCTGCGTGGTTCCAAAAGCGCTTGTCATCATGACATCTATCAATAAAGTGGATTTGCACTGATATGAATCTTCCTGCTGGAGTGCTGATGACATCTGCATTTGTTATTGGATTTTGAGCGGTGCCAGCCACAGTCATTACAAGCACCCGTTATTTCTGGGATATCCGGTAAGGAGTGGGGTAAGGAATATGGACTTTGTGTAAGTCTTAAAAACACCAAGTAAAAAATAAAGGATAAACTCTGTCCTTTATTTTCAAAAAATAAATAAAATACAAGTAATACTTATGCAGAATGATGAGGATGAGGATGATGAATAATACTAAAATCTTTGTACTTTTTTCTGTAAAAAAGAAAAGTTTGTACCTAGTTTTTATTTCGTTTTACTTTGTGTTTCTAGGGCTTACAGATTTTCAGTAAAACAATGTAATATGCAGGTTGTAGCAGATTGCCATCATCATCATATGGAGGGTGATCTGTTTTTTGAGTAAACAGTTTTGAGAATCAGAACAAAACGGATCAGCTTGTTCTACAGATTTCAGGAGACTTGTAACATTGTTTTGTTTTCTCCATTAAAAACAGAAAACCAAACGATTAAACATTTGTATCTTCTCTTCACATCCAGAGGAGATCAATTAACTCTTCTTACATTACTGGATGCAGAGAGTTCTAATGATCAACTGCAAAAGTAGTTTAACTGCCTCCGGGCCGGCCGTAGTAAAAAAACGGCCGGCCGGGAGCTCTCTAGATCTGAGTGGGCGTCTTTAGACGTCCGCTCAGACACGCCCCCTCACGCGTGTGAACGGGATATGGCCGTTATTTAAAAACAGGCAGCAATGGCTGTTACCATACAAGCGATAGTAAAAAATAAACCCCAGTGGTGATTAACTGCCTCCGGGCCGGCCGTAGTAGAAAAACGCCCGGCCCGGAGCTCTCTAGATCTGAGCGGGCGTCTTAAAAACAGGCAGCGATGCCTGTTACAATACAAGCGATCCGCCGGCTTTAGAGCCGGCGGATCGCGTGTATAGGGTGCCGATCGGTCCCCCCCCTCCGCGCCGTTGTCTCGCTGATCCCGGGCTCCGCTGTGTCCGGTGCGAGCCCCTGATAGCAATAAAGTTTAGTGAAAAAAAAAAAATTAAGTCCCCCCCCAAAAAAATGTAAAGTTACACATAAAGAATAAAAAAACAATTTTTTAAAAAAAAGTCCCCACCTATACATACACGCATGCGTTGGGGGCGCATACGTGCAAAAAAGACGATTGCGCCCATTACGCCGCACATGTTACATATCGCCGCGAACGTCGGAGTGAGAGCAATAATTTTAGGGCCATCAATCACCGATAACACTAAACTGATGAGCGGTAAAAGCTTTTAAAGTGTCGCCTATGGCCAATTTTGGGTATGGTAGTTCTCTGCGATTTCGCGGGTGCGCGCAATTTTAAAGCTTGACATGTTTGGTGTCTATTTACCCGACGTGACCCGATCTTTTATATTTTACCAAAAAACTGGGTAATAAATAAATGTTTCCTAACAATGTAAAAAAAAATTCAAATTTTTCTGTAATTTTTCCAAATTATAGTAAAAAATAAAACCCCCCAGTGGTGATTAAATACCACCAAAAGAAAGCTCTATCTGTCCCCCAAAAAATGGTATAAAATTATTTTCAGTACAGCGTTGTATGACGGAATAAACGTCAGTCAAAGTACTGCAGCGCTGAACTCTGAAAAATGGCCTGGCCAGGAAGGGGGTCTAAACACCTGGTCTTGAAGTGGTTAAACCAAAACTAAAACTTCGTTGTTTACATAAATATCAGAAAAACTAACAGACTACATTTTGGCCGCAAAGGAAAATACTAAATCGTTTCCTTTTAAGTTAAACACAAACACTACAGAACCCCCTGAGCTTATAAGTGGTGAGTACTCACCGTACTGATCACCTACCTGTACGATCTTCTATAGCCCGGACATACCACAGGGCTTATTTGAGCCTGTATGCCGCTGCTTGTTTTCCTTCAGTTTTGTCACTTTAGCTACAAGCTTTCATTACCGTGCGATATCTGTTCCTTCCTCCTGTCGCTTTAATCCATTCGGGATTTACTTTTAATTGATAAAACCAAAATTAGCGCTTTATTCATTAAGTCTTATTTAATGTGTCTGTGAATAGCTTTGCCTGCAAAGCTTCATATGTGCAGCTCTAGTTAGTTCTATAGCACTACGCTTCCTTAAGAAGTCGATTAATCCGGATTGTGTGACTTAACCCCGTATAAGTATGGTATAACCGGAAAGAAAGCAACTTCTTAGTAGTCGACATATCCGGAGGATACAATATTGCACATGCGCTCTCGGCTCTGTGCCGCGAGGGGGAAAGTACGCATGCGCTGAAACTCTGCTAGGGTCTCGTTAGAAACGTGACGTCAGAGCTCGGTGAAGATGGCGGGGGTTGTGGCTCTTGATGAGGGCATTCGAAAACGCATCACGACCTCGAGCAAAGCCGAACTGTCTGATTTTCGGGATGGCACTAAGGTGGGTGGTATAATGCCGAGAATGTGACCGATCACCGGAGTCCTGGTCTCCCATTAATATACCGGTCCGAATGTCAGTGTGTTACCCTGAATGGTAGTGTGTTTCCCAAAGTATCTGTTTTGCCACAATGTAGGATGACAACAATCAGACTGTAACACTAACACAAGAATAGTATGGCAGCAATTAGATTGTAACACTGACACACCACGTAGAATGGCAGCAATCAGACTGTAACACTGACACACAATATAGGATGAACACAATCAGAATGTAATACTGATACACTATGGTGGCTGACAACAATCAGACTGTAACATTGACACCAGGATAATATGGCAGCAATCAGATTGTAACACTGACACACCATGTAGAATGGCAGCAGTCAGACTGTAATACTGACACACCATGTAGAATGGCAGCAGTCAGATTGTAATACTGACACACCATGTAGAATGGCAGCAGTCAGACTGTAACATTAACATCAGGATAGTATGGCAGAAATCTGAATATTATACTGACACACAGTGTAGAATGATAGCAATCAAACTGTAACACTGACACAATTTTGTTTTCATATTATCCTGTGTCAGTGTTACAATTTGATTGTTGTCATTCTCCATTGTGTGTCAGTGTTACAGTCTTAATGTTGTCATTCTCCATTGTGTGTCAGTGTTACAGTCTGATTGTTGTCATTCTACATTGTGTGTTAGTAAAAGCTGCTTTCTCCCATGCGGCAATTATTTTTTTTCTGTACGCTGAGTCGCACATATGCAGCTCGGTGCACCGGCTCAGTCATGCAACGCCATACCCAAATTAATTGTACATCAATTTTTTGGGACAGATCGAGCTTTCTTTTGGTGGTATGTAATCACCCCTGGGGGGGTTTTCATTTTCTACTATATAAAGAAAAAAAGTAGCGAAACCAAAAACTGTTTTCTCTACGTTATGTCATTGCAAATAAATAATCTTTCTTCATACATTTAAAACAAAATGTATTCTGCTACATTTCTTTGGTCATGTCGGGTAAATAGACACCAAACATGTCAAGCCTTAAAATTGGGTTAGCCGTGAAGTCCCAAAAAACTACCGTACCCCAAATTGGCCATAAGTGACGTTTTAAAGCTTTTACTGCTTATCAATTAGTGTTAACAGTGATTGGTGACCATAGAATTATTGCTGGTACTCCAACGTTCGCGGTGATATGTAACGGTGGAGGACTTTCAGTGACACTTAAAGTGACATTAAAGGCATACTCCTCCCCCCCCCTAATGGTGGTTGTCTGTGATCCATCGCAGACTCCTTGTGTCCCACAGAGTCTGTCTGGCATGGGCGCTCGCGGCTGCCTGGCTGCATCCATTCACTGTCAGTGTTGCTCTCCTCCTCCTCCCCTCCGGTGATCTGGACTGCGCATGCGCCTGCCCACACTTCCTCCTTCACAGCATTCGGGAGCCGAAACCTCTGCAGCCAGGAGAGAGCGGATGATCGGCATGACATCCTGACACTTTATTTTTATAGACTCTATTGTAGTCTGACATTTATTGTTTACCTTCTCTTGTTTTATTTGATAAGAATACTTATATTGTGCCGACAAGTTTAATACCTATACCTATAATGAATACAAGTTTTATTTTTATCATACTTTTTAATGTTTCTTTGCAGCTTAACAAAATAGCTGTCTTTAAATGGTGCGGATATTGGGAAAAATGGGTGTGGTTACGGGGGTGTGGTCACTGAGGGGTGTGGTCACTGAGGGGCACTGTAAAGTTTTCTCGCACAGGGCGCCTAAAGGCCTAAGGCCGGCCCTGGCGAGCGGCGCTGACACAAGTAAGTTAGTTAGGATTTGCCAACTTTTTTTTTTTCTTTTTGAATGTTGGGGCATATATCTGCTGCTTACTAGCAGTAGATATATGGCAAAAAATAAGAAACTTTAATTTTATTGCTATCACATATAGACTATATAGCCGCCTGAATGCTTGTATGTAACAGCCATCACGGGCTGTTCAAAATGCTAAAACATTCCTGAGTAGGAAAGGACGTTTATAAATGCTGTCCGGTCGTTTAATTACAATGGCCAGATGGCAAATGGTTAATAAATTCCCTTCTCCTATCCCCTTCCTTCCACTGTATGTGACCTGTACATTTACTCCTTCACTTCCCTCTGCCTCTGTGTATGACAGGTACACTAATAATGTGTTGTATCTAGCGCACCATTAAGGTGTCCATACACTGCTCGATTCTCGTACGAGAATCGCGGGAAATCCCGCGATCGTACGAGAATCGAGCAGTGTGAACAGAGACGTGCGACCGTTTCTACTGTACGGTCGCACGTCTTCCGTCGAACCAGCATGTTCGAAAACCAGCCGGGAATCGTACGATTCTCGGCTGGCTAGAACGGTGCTCTGAAGACAAATGCCGAACGGGCCGGTGTGCGCACGCGCACACTGCCCGTTCAGCATTGCGGTCATCGGAAGCCCGCCCCTCAGGGGGGCGGGCTTGCGATGATCGAGAGTGCGATCTGCCTGTCCAAGATAGGCAGATTGTACGTTTTTTTAATCCCTGTACAACCATCGCAAGACTAAGGTCTTGCGATGGTTGTAGAGTGTATGGCCACCATTACCAAGCTCCAACATACCAGCATGTTTCTTCCTTTTCAAAAAATAAGGTCGCCTTGTGTTTACTTTTTTCAAAAATGGGTCATTTGAGGATGTGCGTACTGTCCTGGGATTTTTATTTGCTATGTTTTATAACAGAAAGTAAGGGAAACATATTTTCCCCCTTTTTTCTAGTAAAAAATAAAATAACAGTGGTTATTTATACCACCAAAAGAAAGCTGTATCTTTCCCAAAGATATAAAATAATTTGGGTACATTCAAGCAGTTTTCATAAGTGATTGATTGTTAGTCAAACTACCACAGCACTGAAAACTGAAAAAAGGGCTTGGCAATGAAGGGGTATATACAGGCTGGCACTCAAGTGGTTAAAGCAGGACTCCAGGAATTGGACAAATTAACTCTTGCAGTGGAGATAACGCCAGACTGCAAGGTTTAAGGGCTTGTTCACACGCTTTTCTGGTCCAGATCTGGAGACGTGGTGCTATGCATGCAGTGCAGTTTTGACGCATTTTTGATGTGTTCCAGTTAAAAAATATATATATATATATATATACCGTATTTTTCGCTCCATAAGACGCACTTTTTTTCCCCCAAAAGGAGGGGGGAAATGTGCCTGCGTCTTATGGAGCGAATACCTATCGCCCGACGCCCAGGACATGCAGTTTCGGGCGCCGAGCGAGTAGTTTCTTTTTGTACATTCAGACCTGCTCCTGACAAGCCGAGCTGAATGTACAGTGGGAGCCGCTGCTCGTTTGACAAGGGATCCCTAGTATTAAATTGAGCGGCGGTGATCGTGTCCGCCCCCTGCCGTGGTTTTCGGGGTCCCCCGCTCCTCTGGAGCTCACCATAGGAGCTCACCATAGGAGCTCACCATAGAGCCCCTTGAGCAGACGAAGAACGTTGTTCTTCGTCTGCTCTGTGTGATTACTGAGACAGCGCCACCTGTCTCAGCAGTCACTAACTGCAGCTTCTGTGACAGAATTTCTGTCACAGAAGCCCTGCGTGCTATCGTCTGGAGCATCTTATAGACCGCAAAATACGGTATATATAATTTTTTGGTTGGAGTGGGGCTGTCAGTATGTTATCTGCAGTGCGTTTTCGTTGCGTTTCTGACATCTTCGTGCATTTCCGGACCGTTTCCGGACAAAATGTGACTGCGCACGTGAGAACTGTAGCCCATAAAACACATAGGGATACATTGGGTGCATAAGCGCACGGATCTGGTCCGGACCGAATCCGGACGTCGTGTGAACAAGCCCTCACTGGTCATTTTGGTCTAGGGCAGACCTGGGCTAAATCCAGCTCTTGGTCTACGCCTGTCCAGCCCACCGACCTGCACTTCGTTATGACTGGCTGACATCCACTGTAGCCATAGCCTAGCGTAGGTCGGCAATTGGTCCATGTTCAGACCCTGTGTCTATTTGGTCCTTGGTTGCTAGGAACACTGGCGTCCTAGCAACCAATGACATCAGAGGTCGTCCTATGCAGTCATTGGTTGTTAGGAATGCTGGGCTGTCCTAGCAACCAATGACATCAGAGGTCTTCCTTCAGCTTGTCTCCTGCAGCTCCTATCCTTGGACTTAAAAAAACAAAACTTATGACGGCGTGTATGTGTGGAGGGGGGTTTGGCATGCGTAGTTTCCTGTCCAGCAGTGACTAATGCCCGCTAGCATGCAGCAGGTGTGTTGCATGCACTAGTTTTTTCAACCGTACTGCAACGCATGTTTTTAACATACCTCGTGTTGCAGCGCAGTCGATTGCATTGCGGCCAGGAGGTGCGTTTGGCGTAACCTTCAAATGAATGGCAACACAACTCACCTGCTGCACTGTACACTGCGTTGCGCAGTACCGTGCGTTAATCAGTGTGGCCCTACACAGCCGTCCCAGTTTCCTTTGTGGCCCCCTGAGAAAATGAATTGCCCCCCTCCTGGT